GGGTGGTGCGTAGGACTCTCCAGCATCCAGAGAATCTCTATAGCCGGGGTTGCTAACAGCCAACCTATGTCAGGAGTGGATTTGAAATCAGTGCCCAAGTCCCACCCCGAGGCCATTCTGGACCAGGACCACCCGTATCCTGCCTGAACTTACAGTATCTCTTGAGTCTCCCTGTTTCCAAAACGACCCCTCTGTCCTGTGTGATTCTCCCCCATGGCCTAAAGGACACGATTCCCTTTATGGCATGTAATCTCATGGCTGCGAAAAATCTTAGGAATCTCCAGTGGGTAACTTCTTCATTTTACAGATAAAGACACAAATGTCTAGTTAAGTGAAATGACTTATTCAAGGTCACAAAGTATTTGTTTTGGCAAAGTCAGGGTCAGGATCCAGCTGTCAATGCCCCCAGCCCATTGTTTTCTTCTCCAACACTACACTTCTTCTCTTAGCCAACCTGTCTTTGGAGTTTTCCATTGCGTAAGGTCTGGTGTTGAGTTTCCCTATTTCCACAAAACCCTCTTTTGTGTTCAGTCTACGCACCATGTCTCTGTTCTGCCCTTTCCCAGAAGAAGACACTTCCTGGAGCCTTACCACCCAACGTTCACTTCAATGTGAGCATCCAAGATGGCAACCACGTCCGCCCTGGCAGCTCCCCAGCCGCTGTTGCGTGCCTGAGCAAGGCCTTTCCTCTCAGAGTGCCGTACTATTCTCAGTAGTCCTGGATACTTCTGGTTGTGAAGCTTAATCTTCTCATCCAAGAGCACCTTTAGTTCTCCTGCCAAACAAACGCACACATATTGAAATTCTGAGTGCAGTAATCGATGTGATGCAGAAATTTCATACTGTTATATGACACTGGTTGGGCTACCTCCAGGGTAGAATGCGCAGGTCTACAGCCCCAGCTGAGAAAAGAGGTGATATTTCCCCTGCCCCTACCTCTCCTCTCCCTTCTACTCTGATGTTGAATGTTTCTAATTTTCTTTGCCTCGTGGTTAAATTATCTTAGAACAACAATGCCGCTTACCACGTGCCAGGCACTGCTATAAGTGCCTTTATATGTTGAGAAATTCTTAAAAGGATGAGCGGGACAGACCTGGCCTGAGGTGGAGATGCTGAGGGACGACACGGGAAGGACCACCGGGAACATCGTCTCCACTGCTAAACTCTCAAGACTTTCTGAAGAATTTATAAACGACTGAAATTGTTTTGTTTTAGATATTCCTAGTTGGCTTACTCAAGTACCAACTGAGACACAATGCACAGACTAATCTCTTTGCCAGCTTCTACTTAATGAGTTTACCCTTAAAATTATGCAAACAAGATTTACTATTCCCAGATTGATAATGGGTTTTTTCCTTCCCTCTCTCCCTTCTCTTCTTAAAAAGCCTGTCTATGCCTTTGTTCTTTGCCTCAGCCAACCAGTCGACTTGCTCACACGTATGAAGATAATTTGCATGCAAATCACTGAGCAGTGTGCAAAATACCTAACCAGATAACTCTGAGTTATTCACTAATAATATTAATTTACTTAATTCTCCGAGAATCCTATGACATAGGCACTACAGTATCCCCACTTTACAGATGAGGAAACTGAGGCACAAGAAAGTAAGAGACTTTTCCAAGTCACACAGCTAGTAAGTGGCATGCCCTGGATGTAAGCCCATGATGTCTTTAACCACCACATCACATCGCCTCAAGAACTATGTGCATACCTGGTTGGATTTTTCAGCCCTTCTCTTTATTTCCTTTCTCCCCATAGCCAAGGGATGAGACTCTTACAGGTTTCTCTCTCAAAAGAAGAGTATATTTGTGAGACCTGGAGTGGTCAGGACCTGGAACCAATATCTACATGATCATGACACTAAAATTTGCCCCATTTTAGAACTTTCCCAACTGCGCTTAAGAGTGATTGACTTAATTCTTGAAGGTATTGAAAAGAGCCAATGGGGCTAAGGCTGTTTGCTCCTACTGGGAGTGAGGTGGGGGAAACCAACGTTGCCAGTCCCTACACTCACCCACACACCACTTTTAGGACGTAATCAGCAGGAGTTGCCATAGAACTGGACATCTAGACTCTAATTCATTCACTACCTAGTTCTGTGTCACTTCCCATGGGGAGTATCTGTTTCCTCAACTTAGAAGTACCAGGTATTCTGCCGGGATCCTTCCAACTCCATAATTCTATGAGCCGTAGATTCTGAGTCATGCCCTCAAAAATAATGCCTATAGTCCAGCACAAGAAATCAAGACATGTCAATGGGTCTTCTAAAGTAAACCTATGCTGGCTTTCCAGCATGCTCTCCTGCTGGCCCCCTCCCCATGCCCTTTACTGCAGGCTGGTCAGCTTGGGGTGCTTCTGGCCTCTGCATCTTCTCTCATACCATTCTCTGTCCACTCCCTATCCACACACACACACACACACACACACACACACACACACCAGCCCCAGGTCTTCCCTTGTTATCTCTGCCTTTTCAAATCCTATCAAGACTTCAAGCCCCAACTGAAGCCCCTCTCCCCCAGGAAGCCCCTCTAGTTCACCGCAGCCTCCTGTCTTCTGCACTCACTGCCAGCTCACTCAACTCGACGCACCATTCTGCAACATCGAGGTATCCTCCCACAGGTACCTTCCCTCTTCAGTTAAGATGGGAACTTCTTAAAATCTCTGACATCCTCTTCCCTGCACATGGTAAGAAGTCAACAAACAGTTGTTCATTGTGGAATTTGCCTAAAATTGGGGAGAAAATACAGGATCCTACCTACATGGCTATAATTTCTAAAAAGCTTAGATTAGCTCTGCTGATGCTTAAAACATCTGACTAATACAAAAAAGGCTTCACACCCAGGGAAAGAAAGAAGGGGCAAACCTCTAACACCAGGTTGTGGCATTTAGGCAGTACTGCACATGATACCAAGGCAAGCAAGGAGTCATAAAACACTAGCTAGCATTTAATGAGAGCACACCCTGTCCTGAGGACAGTACGTACATTGCTTAATCCCCAGAACGGTCCTGTCAGGTGGGCACCATCTTTGCCCCATGTTATAGATGTGGAAACTGAGGTGTGAAGCAGCTCAATGACTTGCCATCAAACTCACATGGATAGTCAGTTCCCCTTACAACATGCGTGGTAGAGACTTCCAATTATTTTCATCAGTTTAACACAAAGTGGATTTTGGAGTCAGGCTCAGCGTAGGCCCAATCTAGCGGGTGATTCCATGGTTAATGAGAGAGAAGATAACTCCTGCCCCTGTGACAGCACAGAACGGCTGGCAGTTCTCTCTTCTGTGCCCATCCAAACAAATCATCTCTAAAGATAACAAAAACGGGCTGCAGACCCAAGCGAGAGAAACGCGTCATGGCAAGAGTGCAGTTCAGAAGGGAGCTTTGTCTGGCCTTTCTTCATGTGTCTACCTATGTTTGTAATCTTGCATCTTTCTGTTTTATTGATCCACAGGAAAAAGTCTCATGGAACATGGAATTATTGAATCATGGATTTTTTTTTTCTGCAGGAGAAAATATCTTTAGGGATCTTCCACATCGACCCTTGCATTTGCCCCATGAAGAAGCTGAGCCCCAAGAGGTGAGAGGACGTGACTGATGTTGTCTCAGGGAGCCAGGGAGGACAGCCAGGGTGTCCTCAGACATCCACAGCAGCGGTCTTTCTAGTCTAGCTCCTGTTGTTTGCTTGCAAAACAGGTGTAACTCTGTATAATTCTCCATGCCCAGAAACCAACGGAGATAGTCATTCCCTTTTCCTTGGTTTTCAGTGGTCTTTTGCTCTGGGAATTATACCTTCTTATTTTTTGTTTAGTTACTTTGGGAGGACAAAAGAGGAAAGTATGTAAAGGATGAAAAAGAAGTATCTTTAGTGTTTGGAAATCCCCCCCCAAAAGGCTTAAGCGTTCATTTATTTTCCTGTCTCTCTCCTCAGAGAGAACTTGAAGCTACAATAACCTATCTGGTACTTGAAGATTCCCAGAGAAGGAACAAATTCTGCCACCAGTTGGCTACCACTTCATAGCCCTTACAATGAGAAAATTCTGCCTTATTGCTAGCACAGATCTCTGGTTTTGTAATTTAATTCTGGTTTCTTTTATTTGGTGCCCCAAATTAATAAAACTAAGAGCTAATACTCACTGATAGTTTACCTTGTGCTAAATGCTACACATAGTGCATGTATTATATCAGTGAACATAGTGGTTAGAACCACGGCTGCAAACTCTGAAGGGTACAATCAAATCTCAGTTCTGTCACTCACCTGCTGGTGATTTTTTTTATTATTATTTATACGTATTTATGGGGTACAGAGCTGACTATCAGTATTTGTGTACAGTATGGGATGATCAAATCAATGTTAGCATGTTCATCATTACAAGGCATAATTACCTTTGTGTCCCTTACCCAATTTCTCCGTATTTCCCTTTCCATTTCCCCCTTCCCACCTCTAGTAACTATAGGTCTGTTCTCTCCTTCTGAAAGTTCAACATTTTATTATGGNGCAGTGTGCAAAATACCTAACCAGATAACTCTGAGTTATTCACTAATAATATTAATTTACTTAATTCTCCGAGAATCCTATGACATAGGCACTACAGTATCCCCACTTTACAGATGAGGAAACTGAGGCACAAGAAAGTAAGAGACTTTTCCAAGTCACACAGCTAGTAAGTGGCATGCCCTGGATGTAAGCCCATGATGTCTTTAACCACCACATCACATCGCCTCAAGAACTATGTGCATACCTGGTTGGATTTTTCAGCCCTTCTCTTTATTTCCTTTCTCCCCATAGCCAAGGGATGAGACTCTTACAGGTTTCTCTCTCAAAAGAAGAGTATATTTGTGAGACCTGGAGTGGTCAGGACCTGGAACCAATATCTACATGATCATGACACTAAAATTTGCCCCATTTTAGAACTTTCCCAACTGCGCTTATGAGTGATTGACTTAATTCTTGAAGGTATTGAAAAGAGCCGATGGGGCTAAGGCTGTTTGCTCCTACTGGGAGTGAGGTGGGGGAAACCAGCGTTGCCAGTCCCTACACTCACCGACACACCACTTTTAGGACGTAATCAGCAGGAGTTGCCATAGAACTGGACATCTAGACTCTAATTCATTCACTACCTAGTTCTGTGTCACTTCCCATGGGGAGTATCTGTTTCCTCAACTTAGAAGTACCAGGTAATCTGCCGGGATCCTTCCAACTCCATAATTCTATGAGCCGTAGATTCTGAGTCATGCCCTCAAAAATAATGCCTATAGTCCAGCACAAGAAATCAAGACATGTCAATGGGTCTTCTAAAGTAAACCTATGCTGGCTTTCCAGCATGCTCTCCTGCTGGCCCCCTCCCCATGCCCTTTACTGCAGGCTGGTCAGCTTGGGGTGCTTCTGGCCTCTGCATCTTCTCTCATACCATTCTCTGTCCACTCCCTATCCACACACACACACACACACACACACACACACACACACCAGCCCCAGGTCTTCCCTTGTTATCTCTGCCTTTTCAAATCCACACACACACACACACACACACACACACACACACACACACACACACACACACACCAGCCCCAGGTCTTCCCTTGTTATCTCTGCCTTTTCAAATCCTATCAAGACTTCAAGCCCCAACTGAAGCCCCTCTCCCCCAGGAAGCCCCTCTAGTTCACCGCAGCCTCCTGTCTTCTGCACTCACTGCCAGCTCACTCAACTCGACGCACCATTCTGCAACATCGAGGTATCCTCCCACAGGTACCTTCCCTCTTCAGTTAAGATGGGAACTTCTTAAAATCTCTGACATCCTCTTCCCTGCACATGGTAAGAAGTCAACAAACAGTTGTTCATTGTGGAATTTGCCTAAAATTGGGGAGAAAATACAGGATCCTACCTACATGGCTATAATTTCTAAAAAGCTTAGATTAGCTCTGCTGATGCTTAAAACATCTGACTAATACAAAAAAGGCTTCACACCCAGGGAAAGAAAGAAGGGGCAAACCTCTAACACCAGGTTGTGGCATTTAGGCAGTACTGCACATGATACCAAGGCAAGCAAGGAGTCATAAAACACTAGCTAGCATTTAATGAGAGCACACCCTGTCCTGAGGACAGTACGTACATTGCTTAATCCCCAGAACGGTCCTGTCAGGTGGGCACCATCTTTGCCCCATGTTATAGATGTGGAAACTGAGGTGTGAAGCAGCTCAATGACTTGCCATCAAACTCACATGGATAGTCAGTTCCCCTTACAACATGCGTGGTAGAGACTTCCAATTATTTTCATCAGTTTAACACAAAGTGGATTTTGGAGTCAGGCTCAGCGTAGGCCCAATCTAGCGGGTGATTCCATGGTTAATGAGAGAGAAGATAACTCCTGCCCCTGTGACAGCACAGAACGGCTGGCAGTTCTCTCTTCTGTGCCCATCCAAACAAATCATCTCTAAAGATAACAAAAACGGGCTGCAGACCCAAGCGAGAGAAACGCGTCATGGCAAGAGTGCAGTTCAGAAGGGAGCTTTGTCTGGCCTTTCTTCATGTGTCTACCTATGTTTGTAATCTTGCATCTTTCTGTTTTATTGATCCACAGGAAAAAGTCTCATGGAACATGGAATTATTGAATCATGGATTTTTTTTTTCTGCAGGAGAAAATATCTTTAGGGATCTTCCACATCGACCCTTGCATTTGCCCCATGAAGAAGCTGAGCCCCAAGAGGTGAGAGGACGTGACTGATGTTGTCTCAGGGAGCCAGGGAGGACAGCCAGGGTGTCCTCAGACATCCACAGCAGCGGTCTTTCTAGTCTAGCTCCTGTTGTTTGCTTGCAAAACAGGTGTAACTCTGTATAATTCTCCATGCCCAGAAACCAACGGAGATAGTCATTCCCTTTTCCTTGGTTTTCAGTGGTCTTTTGCTCTGGGAATTATACCTTCTTATTTTTTGTTTAGTTACTTTGGGAGGACAAAAGAGGAAAGTATGTAAAGGATGAAAAAGAAGTATCTTTAGTGTTTGGAAATCCCCCCCAAAAGGCTTAAGCGTTCATTTATTTTCCTGTCTCTCTCTCCTCAGAGAGAACTTGAAGCTACAATAACCTATCTGGTACTTGAAGATTCCCAGAGAAGGAACAAATTCTGCCACCAGTTGGCTACCACTTCATAGCCCTTACAATGAGAAAATTCTGCCTTATTGCTAGCACAGATCTCTGGTTTTGTAATTTAATTCTGGTTTCTTTTATTTGGTGCCCCAAATTAATAAAACTAAGAGCTAATACTCACTGATAGTTTACCTTGTGCTAAATGCTACACATAGTGCATGTATTATATCAGTGAACATAGTGGTTAGAACCACGGCTGCAAACTCTGAAGGGTACAATCAAATCTCAGTTCTGTCACTCACCTGCTGGTGATTTTTTTTATTATTATTTATACGTATTTATGGGGTACAGAGCTGACTATCAGTATTTGTGTACAGTATGGGATGATCAAATCAATGTTAGCATGTTCATCATTACAAGGCATAATTACCTTTGTGTCCCTTACCCAATTTCTCCGTATTTCCCTTTCCATTTCCCCCAATGTTAGCATGTTCATCATTACAAGGCATAATTACCTTTGTGTCCCTTACCCAATTTCTCCCTATTCCCCTTTCCCTTTCCCCCTTCCCACCTCCAAATCAATGTTAGCATGTTCATCATTACAAGGCATAATTACCTTTGTGTCCCTTACCCAATTTCTCCGTATTTCCCTTTCCATTTCCCCCTTCCCACCTCTAGTAACTATAGGTCTGTTCTCTCCTTCTGAAAGTTCAACATTTTATTATGGTCTTTTTTTCCAGCTGTGTGATGTTAAGCAAGTTTCTTGGCCAGTCTATGTCTTAGTGTTTTGCATCTGTGCAATGGGCAAAAAGTGGTTTCTTCCTCATAGGGTTGTTGTAATGATTAAAATAGTTAACACATGGAAGTTGCTTAGAACAGAATGTTAGTTGCTATTATTATCTAATTCTCACTATAGTTCATGAGACAGTTATTATCATCAACATCCATGTTCTGCATATACGGAAACCATAGAATGAAGAAGTTGTTTCCTAAGGACAGCACTTACAAGGAAGGCGCTGGGATGATGACTCAGGAAGTGAGGATTCATGTCCACTATCTCTTACTTCCTCATGTCCTCCTGGGGCAGGGGGAATGGGGTAGACCCAGCGCAGAGGGAATCCTGTGCGCAAGACATGCTGCCACCTTGAAGAGTCTCCAGACCCAAAGCTCTCTTCTCAGGCTTAGTTACCCAGGAAAATTGGTCTTTTCCTCATAAGGAGCAACTTCTTAGTGTCCGAGGTTCTCCTTGGGCCCTGCCTCATCCCCTCAGGTCTCCTTCGTGGCACATGAAAGGGCACACGTGGTTTATGGAGTCACGAGGCGCTGACCTGATGCCCAGCCTCACATTGGCTTGCCATGCAATTTGGGCACACAATGTGACCTATCTGCATCTTAGTTTCCGCATCTGTGTAATCGAGATAATGATCCTTTGCCTTGACTTTGTGAAGATTAAATGAGGTCAACACAAACAGGCTGTCAATGAATGACCTTTGTCTTTTTCCTACATGAGGAGTCTAAGGTGTCCTAAACCTAAGCTAAAACAACGCACACGGTAAGTGATGAGTTTTACAATTACTCTTTGATCAAATTGCTCACCATTTGAGCTAAAGTCATCCACCAAGATGATCTCCTTCAGCACCTGAGAGGGGGTGCGGTTGATGACGCTGGTGACAGCCCGCTGAATAATGGACAGAGCTTCGTTCATGAATATGAGAACGACACTGAGGGATGGGAGTTGTGCAGAATATGTCTTCTGAAGACACCTATAAAAGACCATTTTTATAACCATTATTTTTTTAACTACTTAAACAGTGCTATCCGATCTTCCCCTTAACCATGTGTGATGTTGTATCAATCAGATCACTAACACCCCAAACCCATTAGGAAGGGAAACTCTCCATTACTTAACACAGTAGCAAAAAGAGCTTATATTTGTTTATCCAAAATTCTTCTGCTAAGGCAATAAAATCATTTCTTTTTATTATTCTTCAGTAGACTTCACTTGAACACTCAACATACCTTTAAAAAGAGTTTCCACTCCTCCTCTGTCCCCAAATTAATTTCCTGGCCAACAGCATTTTTTCTGTCATTGCTACCATCCTGTTCAATGTTCTCAGACCACTAGCCACCTTTGACACGATGAGAGGTGGCAAACTTCCCAGAGAATTGTGCTTGACACATTGTTTTAAGTTATAGCCTACGTTTATGAAATGCTTACCATGTGCCTGGCACTGGTTTTCCCTTCGGTTGACAAGTTTTTTGTTTTGTTTTGTTTTTTTCTTTTCATAATATATATTTTTTAAATTTTGTATTGGTTATACAAATTCATGGGGCATAGAGCTGACCATCAGCACCTGTGCCCAAGATGTGATGATCAGATCAATACTATCGGCATGCCCACTACCACAAAATGCAATCATTCCCAAAGTCCCCCACCCAACCTTTCCACAACGCTCCTGCTTCTCTCCCCACTCCCTAGGCAACCCTAGGTATGGTCTCTCCCTCTGCAAGTCCAGTGCTTCACTGTGGTCTTTCTTTCTTTTCTTTCATTCTTTCTCTCTCAGCTCCCACTTATGAGTGAGGACAAGTGGTATTTTTCCCTCTGTGCCTGGCTTATTTCACTTAACACAATTTTCTACAAGCTCATCCATGTTACTGCAAATGGCAGAATTTCATTGTTTTTATGGCTGAGTACTATTCCACTGTGTATGTATGCCACAGTTTCCTTATCCAGTCATCCGTCAATGGACATTTATGTTGGTTCCGCTTCTTAGCTATTGTAAATAGAGCTGCAATGAACATGGGAGTGCAGGTGTCCCTTCAACATGATGATTTCCATTTCTTTGGGTACATACCCAGATGTGGGATTGCTGGGTCATATGGTAGATCTATGTGCAGTTGTTGGAGAAGCTCCATACCGTTTTCCATAATGGCTGTACTAATTTACTGTCCCACCAACAGTGTAGCAGGGTTCCCCTTTCTCCACATTCTCTCCAGCATTTTTTATTCTCAGTCTTTTTGATTATAGCCAATCTAACTGGGGTTAGATGACATCTCAGTGCAGTTTTCACTTGCATTTCCCTGATGATTAGTGATGTTGAGCACTTTTTCAAGTACCTGTTGGCCATTTCTATGCCTTCCTTCAAAAAATGTCTATTCAGCACTTTTCTGCATTTTTTAATTGGGTTATTTTATTTTATTTTTTTTACTGTGTAGTTGTTTGAGTTCCTTGTATGTTCTGAATATTAACCCCTTATCAGATGTATAGTTTGCAAATATTTTCTCCCATTCTGTAGGTTGTCTTATTGCTCTGTTAACTGTTTCATTTGCATGCAGAAACTTTTTAGTTTGATATAATCTCATTTGTTTATTTTTTTTCTTTTGTTGCCTGGCTTTTGGGGTCTTATTCATAAAATCTTTGCCCAGTCCTACTTATTGAAATGTTTCCCCTGTGTTTTCTTTTAGTAGTTTTATAGTTTCAGGTCTTATATATAAATCTTTAATTCATTTTGAGTGGGTTTTTTTATACAGCAAGAGGTACAGGTCTAGTTTCATTCTTCCACATACGGATGTCCACTTTTCCCATCACCATTCACTGAAGAGTCAGTCCTTTCCACAGTTCATGTTCCTGTTGCCCTTGTCAAATATCAGTTGGCTGTAAGGATGGGTGTTGATTTCCAGGTTCTCTATTCAGTTCCATTGGTCCTAGAATCCGTTTTTATGCCAATACCATGCTGTTTTAGTTGCTATAGCTTTGTAGTATAATTTAAAGTCAGGTAGTGTTATGCCTCTGGCTTTATTTATTTTTATTTATTTTTTTATTTTTGCACAAGATTGCTTTAGCAATGCAGGGTCTTTTGTTGTTCCATATGAATGTTAGGATTGTTTTTTCTATTTCTTCAAAGAATGTCATTGGTATTTTGATGGTGCATTGAATCTGTAGATAGCTTTGTGCAGTATAGTAGTTTTCACAGTGTTGATTTTTCCAATCCATGAGCATGGAATGTCTTTTTGCCTTTTTGTGCCTCCTTTAATTTCTTTCAGTAGTTGTTCGTAGTTCTCATTGCAGAGATCTTTCACCTCTTTAGTTAAATTGATTCCTAGGTTTTTTGTTGGGTTTTGTTTGTTTGTTTGTTTTTTGTTTTTGTTTTTGGCGACTACTATAAGTGGGTTTACTTTCTTGGTTTCTCTTTCTGCTAGCTAATTATTGGAAAATAAAAATGCTACTGATTTGGGGGTGTTGATTTTGTATCCTGCAACATTACTGAAATTGCTAATCAGCTCTAAGAATTTTTTGGTACAGTCTTTAGGTTTTTCTATCAATAAGATCATGTCATCTGCAAACAAGGACAGTTTGACTTCATCTTTTCCAATCTGGATGCCCTTTATTTGCCTTTCTTGCTTGATTTCTCTTGCTCGTACTTCTAATACTGTATTAAATAGGAATGGTGACAGTGGGTATCCATGTGTCATTCTTGTTCTTAAGGGAAAAGTTTTCATCTATTCATTCAAGATGATATTGGGGGTGGGTTTGTCATAATGGCTTTTATTGTGTTGAGGTACTTTTCTTCTATATTCAACTTGCTGAGAGCCTTTATCATGAAGGGATATTAAATTTTGTCAAATGCTTTTTCTGCATCTATTGAGATAATCATATGGTTTTTGTCTTTGATTTTATTGATGTGGTGATCACATTCATTGGCTTGCATATGTTGAATCATCCTTGCATTCCAGGGATGAATCCCACTTGATATGGTGTATAATTTTTTTAATGTGTTGCTGTATTCTGATTGCTAATATCTTGTTTAGGATTTTTGCTTCTATGTTCATCAGAGATATTGGCCTGTAGTTTTCTTTTTTTGTTGTATCTCTGTCTGGTTTTGGTATCAAGATGATGCTGGCCTCATAGAATGAGTCTGGAAAATGGAATTTTTTTTCAATTCTTTGTAATAGTTTGAAGAGAATTGGTACTAATTCCTCTTTAAAGGTTTGGTAGAATTCATCAGTAAATCCATCTGTCCTAGGTTTTTCTTTGATTGGAGGTTAGTGATTAATGCTTCAATCTTGTTACTTGTTATGGGTCTGTTCAGTTTTTCTGTGTTCTTGGTTCAGTCATGGTAGTTTGTATGTGTCCAGAAATTTATCTGTTTTCTCCAGACTTTCAAATTTGTTGGTGTATAGTTGTTTGTAATATTCTCTAATGATTCTTTGTATTTCTGTGGTATCAGCTGTAATATCTCCTTTTTCATTACTGATTTTTATTTGGGTCTTCTCTCTTTTTCTTCTTTTTTCCTTTTGGTTAATCTAGCTAATGTTTGTCTGTTTTGTTTATCTTCTCAAAAAACCAACTTTTTGTTTCATTGATCTTTTGTATCTTTTTTGAGTTTTTATATCATTTAGTTCTGATTTGATCTTAATTATTTCTTTCCATCTACTAACTTTGGGATTGAATTGTTCATGCTTTTGTAGTTCTTTGAGGTGTAACATGAGGTTGTTTATTAAAATCTTTCTATTTTTTTGATGTAAGCATTTATTGCAATAAATTTCCCTCTTAATACTGCTTTTGCAGTATCCCACAGGTTTTGATATGATGTGTCTTTATTTTCATTGGTTTCAGAAATTTTTTTATTTCCTGTTTAATTTCTTCATGGACCCATAGGTCATTCAGAAAAATGTTGTTTAATTTCCATATATTTGTATAGTGCCATAAGTTTTGCTTATTATTAATTTCTAGTCTTAACCTGTTGTAGTTTGAAAAGATACTTGAGATTATTTCAATTTTTTTAATTTGTTGAGAATTCATTTGTTATATAACAGGTGGTCTATCCTGGAGAATGTTGCATGTGCTGAGGAGAAGAATATATATTTTGTAGTTGTTGGATGGAATGTTCTTTCGATATCTACCAGGTCCAATTGGTCTAAAATGCAGTTAAAATACTGTGTTTCTCTGGTGATTTTTTCCTGGATGATCTTTCCAGTGCTGAAAGTGGGGTATTTAGGTCCTCTACTATTACCATATTGGGGTCTGTATCTTTCTTTAGTCCTACTAGTGTTTGCTTTATATATCTGGGTGCTCTTGTGTTGGGTGCATATATATTTATGATTGTTATGTCTTCTTGCTGGATGGATCACTGTATCATTATATAGTAGCCTTCTTTGCCTGTTTTTATGGTTTTTGGTTTAAAGTCTATTTTATCTGATGTAAGAGTAGCTATGCCTGCTCATTTTGGGTTTCCATTTATATGGTATATCTTTTCCTGTCCCTTCCTCTTAGTCTGTGTGTATGTTTGCAGGTGAGGTGAGTCTCTCAAAGACAGCATATAATTGGGTCTAGCTTTTTAATCCAATCCATTAGTCTGTGTCTTTTGAGTAGTGAGTTTAATCTGTTTATATTTAGGGTTGTTATTGAGAGGTGTCATTTTGCTCCTTGCATTTTATCACTTTTTGTTCGGAGGTTTTAATTATCTTTTTTCCCTTTCTTCTCTTTTTATTATTCCTCTTCAATGCTTGTTGGTTTTTTGAGCTGGAAATATTTAGTTTCTTTTTTCTTTCTCATTTGCATTTGTTTTTTACCAATGAGTTTTGTTCTTTCTTATATATTCATGGTAGTGGTTATTGTTTTTCAGATTCCAGATGCAAGACTCCTTTGCAAATTTCTTACAGGGCTGGTCATGCGGTGGTTAAGTCCTACAGTTTTTGTTTTTCTAGGAAATACGCTATTTCCCCCTTATTTCTGAACTATAGTCATGCTGGTTATAGTATT